AATTTTTAGAAATTTCAGCTTGTGCTGACCACTACTCTTGATAGGCAGATATCAGATGGATCAAAGGAAACAAAAGTCGTAAACGGTACTTGCATCGGACAGTACCGCATACCGCGATGCAATTCTGATATAACCACGCTAAATTACCAAACTGTGCCAGCTGTTCCCAAGTCAGCGACTTGCTACTTGTCACTCGGTCTGTTGTAGAGAGGCAACGTGAGATGAATTCCTCGTTTCCTCGCTTAAGTATCCTTACGCTTATAGCAACGATCTCCATTCCACGGATTTGAAAAGCTAATGAAACACTGGCAGACAGTCGTATCTCCGCACACATGCAGAATTATGTGAAAGATCACGGATATTACAAATCTTAGCATTCTGCAGATAGCTCGCTGTGTTTAGCCCCTATGAGAGAATATGAAATATAAACAATAATGAAAGATCACCACAAAAAACGGTAGATACATCACAGCGCCAAGAGAGTCACCCTTTCACGCATGCCGTTAGGATATACAGTACACGTCTGTCACAGGCTGTCAGGTACTACCTTTTTCATCAAACTACTGTATCGGAACACTTCGTTTACCAAATTGGGTAGCACACAGAAGTGAATTCAGTTTTAGCCTGTGTCACAAACAGTGGCATGCAAGCAGGTCAATAAACTTTACCTAATAATATAATAACATAATCATTTACTTTCCGTTATCACTCCGTAATCACAGGAGTTTGAATGCCGGTGACACGGCTTCTGCAAGATCGTATTTCCAATTCCAGTGGTACTATTTCTCGTGATGAGTAATCTACTGTCGCATTCCTTTTGGATCAGTCTTCTCGTGTTTTGACTGAGCTCTATTTTTAAGTTGTCTGCCTGTTATTCCACGCTTGTCTTTCCTTGCTACGCAATTTTTCTGACTTTCTGCATACTAGCTCTAAGCTATTTTTCGTCTTATTTGCATTCTCTTCACGTTGCTTGTTCATTTTGCAATTAACTGTTATTTTGAACTATCGATTGGGAAGCAAAGGTCATAAAATAGTTTGATTTAGATCTGTTTTAAGGTGCTGGGTTCGATTTCGCTCGAGTTCGTCGCTGTACATAAGACATGTTTTTGCCTTTGTTACGTTTCATTTTTCTTTATGTTCAGACTTCAAACATTCTTAAGTACGTTGCTGCTACATATGATATGCTTCTTATCACTCTTCTTTGATTCTTTCGGTAGGTTCTTCCCTGAGTTCCCTTTCGTTAATTTTTTTCTCATATTTGTTTCTTGTTCTAGACGCTTTCCTTTATGTTCACGCCAACATTACATAAATAATGTTCCTTGTTATTTA